CCAGCACCACGACCATCGTCGAACCGACGGTGACGAGCATCAAATCGACGGTGATCACCAGTTCGGATATCGAGACCATCACGGCTCCTGCTAGCACCAAGACGACTACTGTCAAAGACACCACGACGGTCACCGCTACCGTCACCGAGGGCGATGTCACCACCACGGTCAAGAGCACGGTCACCGCCACCAGCACCGTGACCTCGTCTGCCAAGGCCAAGACGATCACCGAGACCGTGGCCAGCACGACAACCAGCGTTAAGACCTCCACTCCTGGCACCGTCAAGGTCACCTCGTACACCACCGTCACCAAGGGCAGCGGCGGTACTAGCACGAAGAGCACCAAGGCCACCACCACCACCATCGACGTGACCTCCACCAAGACCACCACGAAGAGTGTCACCACCACCCTCAGCTGTATCCCTGCCGCCAACGCCAAGCGCGCTCTGATTCTGCCCCGCGCTGCTGTGAACGCCGCCACAGTCACTCAGTATACCACCCTGACGACCTATGTCAAGACCTCGACTGACGAGCTCGCCTCGCCTACGGTCTACGTCACATCTACCACAACCAAGACCACTGGCAAGACCTCGACACTCAAGGCCTCCACTAGCACCATCACCAGTGTGTCGGCCACCACCAAAGTGGCCACAGAAACCATCAAGGCCGTCACCGTCATTCTGACCGAGAGCAGCACCACGGTGGTTGCAAAGACTACTACGCTCAAGGCCAGCACGATCACCGACACGATCACGTCGGCGGCCACCAAGACCTCGACTGTGTCTGTGCCGGGAGCGACGGTGACCGTCACCAGCCTGAAGACCACCACGATCAAGTCCACGGTCACCTTGCCCCAGAGCACCATCACCAAGACCAAGGCCACCGTGACCACTGTCAAGGAGACCGTCACTCTGGCGACTCCTACCACTACAGTGCTGAAGACAACCACTCTCAGCCTTGAGCCCTCGGTGACAATCACGGAGCGGGCGACCAGCACTCGCACGTCTACTATCAATCAGACCGTCACCGAGACGGAGACTGTGACCAAGACCTCGAAGAGTGCCAAGGCCTGCCCTACTGACTGAGGGATCCACTCTCTTCATCCTCTTTTTCATTTTTTAATTCGGGTTTGAGATTCCTGTATATTAGTTATATAATTTACCTAATCTATGCTTTAATACTCCAAACGATGTGTATTGAATGAGTAGTTGCCTGTCATTGTACGTATTGAAGACTGGGCGAGCAGGATGCGGGGTGCCCCGAACGCCCGTGATTTCAGCTCGACCCGAGCACATATATATATCTTTAGCGGACAGCAATTTTGAGAAGGAGGGATGCTCGGAGGCTGTCCAACAATGTTTTCCTAGCGTCAGTCTCACTTTCTCATAGAAGGAGCAGGACAAACTGTCAATTCAGTGTCAAGTACGTGGTACGTATAGTTGGGACAATGCAGGGTGCGTGATGAAGTGCAAAAGATGTCGCATGATTGCGCAGCAGATTTAGTTGTGAGATGGATTGTATAACCTGAAAAAAGGCCATCCCTCAACAGCTGGCCTGCTGGCCCAATGGTAAGGCGCTTGACTACGAATCAAGAGATTGCAGGTTCGAGCCCTGCGTAGGTCATTCTTTTTTGCTCTACGACTTGCATATCATCATTTTGTGACTCTCAGTTACTTAGAATTCCGCGATTAGTCAACCTGCATTCAACTTCACCACCGCTACTCAAAGCTTCGCCTGTCGAGATTTCTTCTCCCGATCGCGCAGCAACCGTCGCAGGATCTTCCCACTGGGACTCTTGGGAATGAGATTCACAAACTCGACGCCGCCCTTGAGCCATTTGTGCCGGGCCTTGGTCTCCTGCACATGTGCGACAATCGCCTGGACGGTGGCGGCATCATCCGGTCCAGCCTGTGCCGATTTGACAACAAACGCCTTGGGCAGCTCGCCGGCCTCGGAATCGGGCACGGGGATGACGGCGCAATCGCCCACGGCGGGGTGCGCCAACAAATGCGCCTCCAGTTCGGCGGGGGCCACCTGCAGCCCCTTCACTTTGATCAGTTCCTTGATCCGGTCGATGATGAACAGATGCTCGTTGCCCTGGGGGCTCAGCCGCATCACGCCCACGTCGCCCGTGTGGTACCAGCCGTCCCGGTAGGATTCGACGGTGGCTTTGGGGTTGTTGAGATACCCCATCGTCACGTTGGGGCCAGCGATGATGACCTCGCCTGGAGTGTCGTAGGAGGTGATTTCGCTGCCGTCGGGGTCGAGGAGCTTCCACTGCGAGCCTGGCATCGGACAGCCCACTGAGCCGGCCCATTGGTCGATGATGGGGGTTAGGCCGACTACGGTGGTGGCTTCGGTGATTCCTGGTGGAGGACACTGGGTCAGTGGTGTATCGGAATGTATCATTGTGTTGGTGGGCACCCACCATAGCCCTGACCGATATTCATGGCGGGATACTGCTCTCGCACCGCTGCCTCGACCTCCTCGCCCAGCGGAGCTGCCCCCGTGAAGAGTCCCACCACGCTGCTGAGATCATACCGTCGGCACAGCTCCTGGCTCTTGGCGATGCGCAGCACGATGGGTGGCACTAGGAGGAGAATGGTGATCCTGAAACGTTGCGTCGCCTCCAGGAGGCTCTCCAGCTGGAAGCGCGCGAACACCACCGTCTGGTCGCCGCGGTAGGCCGCATAGTGCGCGACGTAGTTCAGCCCGTAGGCGTGGCTCATGGGCAAAACACAGCTCGTCACCTCGGACTTGCCCTTGGTGCGCATCCCCGACGATTCATCGTATTGCTTGAACTGGAGGATGTTGGCTATCATGTTGTAGTGGGAGATCATCACGCCTTTCTGGGGAGAGGATAGTTAGTGGCCGGGAAGAGAGGGAGAGGGTTTGGCTATGCGAGATATCGTACCGGCAGCCCGGAAGTACCGCTGGAATAGCACAGAAATGCTGGCTGACGGCGACCCTGCCCGGCCTGCCATTTCAACGGAGCTACTGGGGGCAGCGTCTGGCCTGCTGCGACCAATTGTGATACCGTCTCGAACTCCGATGCTGCGGCGGGGAGCGACTGGCCCGGTTCGACGGGCGTCTCGAGCACGAAGACGCGCTGACGGGGGATCCCGACTTGGGCTGCTGCCTCCAGCGCGGTGGCCAACAAGGGCAGACAAGTGAAAAGCACCGTGGCCCTGGAGTCCCTCATCTGATAGGCCAATTCCGAGGCCGAATACGCGGCGTTGGCGGGCGAGACTATTCCCGACAATCGATGCACCGCCCAGGACAGAGGCATTGTGTCGATCTTTTAGGAAACGTCAGCATTGCTCCGAGTGGGACTCTCGATGGGACTCCAAGGACTGTTGACCCACCGTATTCAAACTGAAGATTCCAATGACTTTGTCTTCTGCTGCCCCGGTGTTGGGTTCCCAGCCCAACTCGCGAGAAAGGGCCCGGGCCATGTAATCCACCCGCTCGACGATCTCGGCCGGTGAGTAACCCTGGCCGGTGACATTGCAAACGTATGGAGCGGGCGATTGGTCGATGGGGGCACGCCCATATCGCTCGTCGAGCATGAAGTCGCAGAGGGGCACCGTGTCGGGGATGGGAGGCAATTCGCCTACCCACTTGGGCGGAAAAAAGACCATGGCGGGAGATCTAGAGGACGGATGCTCGCTGGTGTCGAGGTATTCGAAAAGACGAAAAGAAAATGCAGCAGTGGTGGATGAAGAAGGCTTTTTAACAGCAGACGCCGACGGTGGTGTTGCTGACCTCAGAATGATCCCTGCTTGGCTCTTCCTAAGCCTTCAGCCGCGTTTCACCATGACAGGATGACTGCTGGCCCCATCGAGCAGCTCGATGAACAGCCTCATTGGAGGTTGAGATGATCAGCAGCCTTAGCCCGGGCCTACCCACCTGCCAGCGTAAGCCGAGGCAAGCGAAGCAGCCAACATTCGTCCTCCAGATGGCTTTCCTGGCTCCACCGGGGGTTTCAACGGCGACCGTTGGCCTGGGGATCAGACCACCTAGACTAAGGGCCACCTGCCAGCTCAGTAGGTGGAATGAGCACAGAGATCGATCCTGAAGATCATTAGCATGAGCCACGCAGCAAGAAAATGAGAGACTTCACTGCCAGCCAGCAAGATCCTTTCTCGCGAGAAGATGGAGTGGTCGACTCGAAGCGTGAGGACCTCGCGGAAACCCTAAGTCCGCAGCCGGAGATCCCCAACAATGGCTTCGTTTCCCACGGTCGCGATTTTGCTTAAGTCGAAATCATCTTTCAAAACCACATGGATGTAGAGGTTATGACTCCAATGCATGGATTGCGGTCGTAGCTTGGTCTATGAAGCATGTTGTTCTGGTTGCTGCCCCGGAAAATCGAGCATAGTGAGTCCTAGACGGGACGGCGAGAAGGAGCCCGGGATAGGGAGGTAGTCAGGCGCCATCGCAGTCGCCACTGACCAAACCTACCCCAATCTTCGAACAGGCCGTATAATGCATATTTGTCGATAGCTACATGCTCACGTACGGAGTATAAGTATGTCCTTCGATCTACATGTTTCCCCACATCCTGCCCGGTCGCAGCCGGACTACTACTCACTGCGGGTGAAATCTCCGACCTCCAGCAGCATCACTAGTCCAGGGTGGCACGGGCTGCAGAGCCAATAGTCAAGCAATAGACTGGAAGTCTCGAGCATCATGCGGCCTCATTCCCACGTGGGAACCCGTGCAGAATGGGCAGCAGGAGCATGGCCTGGCAGGCTGGGAACCTCCTCTTCCCCTGGCTTCGGTGGGGCACAGCAAGGATCGAGAAACCTAATCGAGCTTAATTGAGAGCGAGATCCAGTGAGTTCACTGAAATGCCATCTCTTCGGACTTGACCGTGAGCGTTCAGGGGCAAATCTGGTGGATAGTCGGCATAAATTGCTGCATTGTGTGAGGCGCCCCCCCCGCCGTCGCCTAAACTCGCCTTCTTTGCGCCTCTAGTTAACGCGATCCATTCGAAGGCCACAGGAAACCAAAAAAAGAATACGAGTCCGATCAGGAGAGCTTGAACAAGTCCTCACTATATGTTCAGCTCAATCCCTACCTGTCAACATGGATAGACAGGTAATTGGTACACGATGACTCCTCTTCGTACCCTGCTCTTCGGAGCGGGCTTTATGCCGCTGATCCAGATGGCTGCGGCCTGTACGGGAACCGATGTCATTCAAGGAGGGTCGTCGGCGTACACTTCCTTCTGGAGTACGAGTGCCGGCCCTACACTGAAGACCTTTTCGGTGGTTGATGCTGGGGGTCCCGATGGCGGTGCCTACCTGTAAGTGTGCCTAGTCAATGCGTAGCCAAGATGCAGGCGAACCCTAACCCTCTTGCAGTGAGATCGACGATTTCAGCTATAGCTGGGTGATTGTGCGTCAGAACATTCCCTCGGTGGAGGTAGGCACCTCCTATCATGTCTCCCTGGACTGGTCCATCACGACGGACGATTCGACCGGAGCCTCCTGTACCCTTACAGTCGCCGTTGAAGGCAATTCCTTCACTGCGGCATCTGCAGCCCTCGTGGCTGGCCGTTCCAGTGGCTGGTCGAGTGTCTCTGGGACGTACACGCCCACTTCCTCCACCGGAATTCCTTTTGTGATCACCATCAGTTGCTCTCAGGGAGCTTCCAACGGAAACCCTGTCATTGGCCTGGCCGACATCTCCATGGTCAGCGCCTGCTCGGACCCAACCTCCTCCGCGAGTGCCGCAAGCACTGTCACTTCCGCCACATCCGACAGCACGTCGAGCGCCGTGAGCACCACCAGCAGTGACGATTCGCTGGGCTCCTCGACTACGGCCTTGGCTACAACGACTTCTTCCTTCCCCGCTGCTTCATCCACCGCCAGCAGTGCTTCGACAACCACCTGGTCGACGTCTTCTGGCACGACCGCTGCAACCGATGACAATGGCACCACGCTCACGGCCGATACCACTGCTGGAACGTCTCTGGAGGCGTCACAGTCCGTAGATACCTCCGACGATGCCTCGGTTTCGGGCACAATCTCAGTTTCCGATTCGAGTGCCACCAAGCGCAAGCGCAGTGGTGTCTCCTGCGCGGTGAGCATTTATCAGGGCAACGATCTCATCGACAGCCTGACCGTCCCAGCGGGTTCGTCGGCCCCGTTCTCGACCTGCCTAGGCAGTTCATCCTCCAGGCCCTCTACTCTCACGATCAAGGTGGTTTGCGATGGAACCGGGGCCACGGTTGAGGTTTCGGATCTTATTGTGGACACCAGTCTTGCGGCTGCCGAACAATGCGCCGCCTCTGCTGCCGCTGCTGCTACTCCTACTATTTCTGCGGCTGCGTCCAACTCGCCTCTCGCTTCCCAGAGCTCGGCTATTGCTGTTCAAAGTCCATCATCTGCTGTCAGTGTTACCGTGCAAAGCCCTAGTCACAGTCCCCAGGCTAGCTTGAGTGTGCCTTTGTTTGTGACCCGTCCCAGCCCATCAATCATCCCAAGCCCTAGGCCCAGCTCTGGCTCTGTTCCCGGCTCGAGCTCCTCCGGTTCGGATTCCTCTGGTGCTGGCTCTTCTGGCTCTGAATCGTCTGGTGGGTCGAGTTCCTCTGAATCCTCGTCTGGATCCTCGTCTGGGTCTGAATCATCAGGAGCTGTCGCTGGATCTAGTTCTTCTGGCTCGTCGAGTTCTTCTGGTTCCTCTTCTGCTTCAGCTTTCACTTCTGGCTCGTCAGGCTCATCTAGCTCCTCTAGCTCTTCTTCTGGCTCGACTAGTTCGTCTGGTTCCTCGTCTGGTTCCTCGTCTGCTTCTGGATCGTCGGGAGTCAGCGCTGGATCTGGGTCGTCCAGCTCTAATGCTTCCGGAGTGTCCAGCTCGTCTATCTCCCAGCCGGGCTCTGGCTCAACAGTCAACACTTCGGGGTCCAGCAACGCTATCTCCGGCTCTGGGGCTTTCACCACCTCCACTGTCTCGCACACGGAGGTGCATACTGTCACAGCCTGCCCGTCGACCATCAGGAACTGCCCTGCCTCCGCGAAGACCACTTACCTGACCACCGAAACTGTGGTCGACTATACGACCATCTGCCCGGTTACTGCCACGGGGACCCACGTGCCTGCAACAGCCACCCACGCGTCCAGTGCCACTAAACACGAGGAATTCACCACGTCCACCGTGTATACAACCTCCGTGCATACGGTGACCGCTTGCCCATCTTCGATCAAGAATTGCCCCGCCTCGAAGCAGACCACGTACCTCACGACTGAGACTATTGTGGACTACACCACTATTTGCCCGGTGACTGCCACCCAGACTGGCGTCGCCACCGCGGCCACGGCCCCTACAGGCCCTATCTCTCGTGTCACCGAATATCTTACCTCCACGGTGTACAGCACATCGGTGCGTACGGTGACTGCTTGCCCGTCAGGTTATCAGAACTGTCCTGCATCGGCGAAGTCGATCTTTGTAACCACCGAGACGGTCCCTGCGCATCTGACAACATATACTGTGGTGGCCACTGAGCCCCATGCAACCGCACGGCCCGCCGATGAGGAGGTCTATTCCACCTCCACAATGTATGATACTGCTGTTTATACGGTGACGGCTGCTCCTATGGGATCGACCGGCCAGACTGCTCCCCAAGAGACTGTCTCTGTGTATACCACCCTGATTCCAGTTAAGACCACGGTCTATTTGAATGTCGAGTCCATCGGATCGGCTGCTGCTCCGTCTGGTGCTATGGGCACGGAGATCTCCAAGCCGGAAGGTGTGAATGTAGTTGGTGCGACACAGTCCGCCACCAGACTGGGCTCCAATGCCCAGGTTGAGGGCAGTGGTGAGCTATCTTCTTCAAACTCACAGTCCCCAAGCCTGCCAGGCTCCCTGATCCCCTCAGTCAGAGCATCCTCTGCGGTCGCAGCGTCTGCCGCAGCCTCGTCTCCGGCTGGTACTTATGCTGGATCCTCCACTACCACCGCCGGGGGCGCGCTCTATACCGGGGCTGCCGCGTCCCTCTCCCTCTCCCTCTCCTCTAGCCTCATTTGCGTGGTGGTGAGTCTTTTCGCTGCTTTGATCTTGTAAATAGAATGGCAATCTAGTACTCTAGTGAAATTGTATGAGCACATGGGCACAGGGGCACATGGGCAAATCCAGAAACACTTTCCCGCACGTGTCAGCCAAGACGATAGACAGGAGTAATGCAGGTACTAAAAGAGCTAAAGCCTTGGTTCATGAAAACAATTAATGGAGTGGAGACAGCTATCGGGCACGTGGTCCGAGGGCGCGGTGATTCTGGCTAATCTGGCCGGGCCTCCACGGGTTAACAACGCTAAGCAAATTAACCCTCATTTCGTCGGCAGCACACGGCAGCACATGGCCTCCCGTCGCCCTTTCATAGGCAAAGTCCGTCTCTCGCCTGTCGCTTGACCATTGCCGATGATACAGTGTCGTGCAGTGACATGCAGTGACATACAGCGATGCATGCATGAAAAGGGGGTTCCAGCAATAATCATGCTACTCTCCGTGCTTGACTTTAGTATATATTGGGCCGGTGCAGACCCCCGTTGGATGCTGCTGAGAATCGATCAGAGCACCGTGCACATTGCCAATTGCTTTCTCTTCTATCATGGCTACGTTCGCTGCTGTCGCTGCTCTGCTGGGAGTTGCCAGTGCCGGCCCGGTTCTGGCCCCGGTCAACGATATTCTGTTTCCTGCGACTGCCCACTCTTCCAACCCCTTGATCTATTCTGGCGGGAATACGCCCTACTTTACTGGTGAGTTTCATCCACGCCCGTCTAGCACTTGGCCCGACTGATGCAGAAACCAGGCCCGAACGTCAATGGCATCTCCAACGAGGTTCCCTCGCAGTGCACAGTTCAGCAAGCTGCCTATGTGGTGAGACACGGAAGCAGGTGAGACATGTCTGGAAATTAGAAGTAGCAGGAGTGACGTGGCTAATGACAATCAGATTCCCCGACAGCGGCTCCTACGGTTCATGGGTGGCTCTTGAGGAGAAGGTGGGTCCATAGCGACAGGAGGCTCCCCCATCTCAGTGCACACCTGCTAACTCACAATCGGTAGATCCAAGCGGCCGTGAAAGGCAAGGGCTTCAAGGCGCGCGATGAGCTCTCGTTCATCGCCGACTGGAAGACTGTCCTGACCAACACCACTCTGCAAATGTCCCAAGAGTCGATGACGGGTCGCAAAGAGGTTGGGAGAATCACATCAAACCTGAAGACCATGGCACGACTAACCGAGCCAGGCTGTTGATCTCGGTTACACTTTGCGCGCTCGCTGTGGGTTCCCTATCCCTGGAATAGAATGAGACATCCAGGCTAACGATCAATAGACCCCGATTTCTACGAAGACGGCCACCCTTTCTACGTGTGGGCCAACCAGTACGCGAACCCCATCAGCACCTCGCGCGTGGTCCAGACCGCGCAGGCCTTCTTGCAGGGATACATGTACGAGTTCGCCGACACCTATGGCAAGGTTGTCAGTGTCAACTCGACGGGCTCCGTCAATGCGATTGGCAACTCGCTGGGACCCTCGGATGCGTGTCCCTTGTATGTCAACAATGCGTATAACAATGTGACAAACTGTAGGTGGCTCATGACATTCGGGAAGCCACTCTCATGAGGGACGGACTTGCTAACTGTGCTCAGGGGATGCGACGTGGATGCCCGCGGCCATCAAGCGCATCAACGCCCTGGTCAGCGGCAATCTGACCTTCACGGAAACTGACCTGACCTTCTTCCCCTACCTGTGCGCCTATGAGAGTCAGATCACGGGCCAGCTGAGCGACTGGTGCAATGTCTTCACCCAGGACGAGTTGACCAAGTATGCCTATTCGCAGGATCTGAGCTACTGGTACGGTGTGGGACCGGGTTCGTCGGATCCCACCAAGCTGCTCTTCCTGCCCTTCCTTGAGAGCTTCTTGGATCTGCTGGCGCAGGGCCCCGGCCAGAACGGCACCGACGTGGATGGCAGTCCCTTCACCGTGCCCAAGCTCATCATGGCCTTCTTGAACGACAACCAGATCGCCGAGTTGACCGCCGGCATGGATCTCTTCCAGGACCAGACCCCGTTGCCCGATGACCGGATCCCCTCCAACCACCTGTACAACGTGGCCCACTTCATCACCATGCGTGGTACCGTTGGGTTCGAGGTTCTCAACTGCGAGACGACCACCAAGAAGAAGACCACCGAGGACACCTATCTGCGCATCCTGCTCAATGATGCCGTTTATCCTCTGCCCATGTGCAAGAGCGGGCCGGGCAGCAGTTGTCTCCTATCGGACTACGTCACCTATATCAAGAAGAAGAACGCGGAGGCAGGCAACTTCATCGATTACTGCAATGTCACGCAGGCTGGTCACCCCGAGACCGTGGCCGGGGCCAGCTTCTTCACCGACTTGACTCAGGACTTCTTGACTCTCGTCTCTCCTTGAGCATGGTTGAGCATACTGGGAATTCTTTGCGTGGACTGAATGCGTCCTCGCGTGTACAATAAATACGTTCTGATAGAAGGATCTTAAATCATCTCACGTAATAACTATTAGTCTATCGAGTTCACTTTCTTGTATCCAGCCACCAGACGATGTCGCACCACCGGGACCAAGGCAAGCAGCAGCCAGACCAAGGTACTGAGCGCCAGCCCGGCGGCAAACACCACCACGACGAAGGAGGGCGACCAGCTCTGCTTCTCAGGTGAGGGAGGAAAGAGGAGCGCCCGGGGGTCATCAGGCTGAGGCCGGTCTGCTCCGGGGGCCCAGTAGGTGGGCGGACTGCTGCGTACCATCTCCGAGAATCCCAAGCTGTTTTGGCCGGCGTCGAGAGCCTCTGCCGACACCCAATCCATGTATCCGCGGGCGATGAAGCTGGTCTCGAAGCCCGTCTTGGCCACTGTGCCGATGAGCGTCTTCTCCCCCTCTGCGGCCCTCTGCGCCCAGAACCGCCAGAACTTCACCTCGGTCGCTCCGTTCCAACTCACGTGGCATTCGGTCAACAACTCGGAGCCATTGATGCCGGCTACCGACGCGACTATGACCGGGGGCTCGGCGGGCGACGCCGACCAGGGGGATTTGTAGGCGCGGTAGTTGCCGAACCGGTCGCTGGCGAAGCGGGCTTCGGTCAGAAGGCGGCCGCCGCGATCAAACTCGCTGATGTAACCAAAGTCACTCCAGGACACAAACATGTTGTTGTTGGGGAGGAGTTGCGCGCTGCCCCGACGTCGCGTCAGGTCGCCGTCCGGTCGCAGATACTGGTTCAGCAGCTTCGCCTCGAAGTTGACCAGGTCCAACTCGACGATCATGGCGGCAGAGACGGGCTTGTTCTCGCTCAGCTCGTCCGCCGCGTTGTCCAGGAAGGACATCACCATGCGCTCCGGGGTGTGGAGGATGATACGCGCATCATGCTGCCATGAGAAGTCGAAGTCCTTCTGGAAATTGTTCCCCTTGCCGCCCAGTCGCCACAGAATGGCCCCGTCCTGTCCGGATATCAAGTAAATGGTGCTGGAGTGGCGACACGACATCAGGTAGTCCCCGTCCTTGGTCTTTTCGATCGCATTGCAGTGGATGTAGTCGGCGCCACGGGGAGGAGTTCCGACGGTGATGTCGACAAAGGTCTCGTGGAGCGGGATTCTCCCCTCGGAGTTCCATTCGAAGAAGACGTGGCCGGTGGTGTAATCGATATCGCGAAAGCCCTGGAATTTGATCTCGCGGGAGACCCCCGGCAAGCCGATGTCGGCCAGGTCCACGACCTTGGGCCACTGATGGATGGCCAGCGCTTTGTGAGGAGCGTAGACGTAGAACTCGTGCTTGTCGAAGACGGGGGTACTGGCCACTTGGTGATACTGGTGGTCGAGGATGGTGCCATTAGCAAATTCTAGATCCACCCCAAGCCCGGTCTGCACCATCAGGGACAGCTGAGGCTTGCCGGGGAGATTGGTCACGACGCGCAGGTCGAAGGCGTTCTGATTGTCGGTGTATGCAGCCCCGGTCCAAACCAGATCGCCGTCCTGGTCATAGATGTAGGGACCGACCTGATAGGGCATCCATCGTGTGGTGTAGGGTTCTCCCACGGTGACCCAGTAGGGGGCGACAAACCAGTAGCCCGGGGCTGTGGCATTGCGATGATAATGCGTGACGTTCCATTTGGGGATGCGATGCTGCGGTAACTGGAATGCCCCATTAGTCAGGGCTTAGTCAGGGCTTAGTCACAACGTTACGGAGAAACCCACGGTCCGAAACACCATCAAGTCTGAGTCATCCGAGGCGGTGAAGTCGCTGGCCACAATCCGGGCCACAATAAGCAGCAGCAGCCCACATAGCGAACCGGGTAGCATCATGGTGGCATGGAGTAGAACGAATGACAATGCCTGCTGATCAAGAAGATCTCTCTTTTTCCTGGACCAAGGGGCTCGAGGGCATTTTATTCATGGCACGGAGTACGGAGTAGCGTCGCTTGATTTTACCCCAGATGCATCGAGACTGAGAGAGATAGGGGGGGAGGGGGAGCTGATCGATGGATCGATCCACCTCGGATTCGCCGCAAAAACCAGTCTAGACCACGGTGGCCACCATGGCTTCTGACATATCATCCTGGCTTCCACACGAAGGGGCAGAGGTATCTGTTCTGGAGTAGTGAACTTTGGGTGTCCCAAGTCCATAGTACTCAAACTGAGCCCGACGGAAATTGCGGTTGTCGATCTGCCGCAATAGTATATGTATGTATCCTAGGGCAGGGACCATCCACCTACTCACCCCGAAGAAACTTGGCCAGATTGTTATGAGTAGCATGGATAAAGATTGCAGCCCCGCGATCTACCAAGCACGCAGGTTGCACTCTCAGGGTCTTTCTGGCTCTTGCTTCCACTCCCCGATGGAGGCTGGCTCTGAGAATTGAACCGAGTCCGCAGCTTCCGACTCGAGTCCTTTGTCCCAACTTGCGCATTTCATTTGCTAGAAAGGCTTCGTAACTGTCTTGAGGAGAGCGGATAATCTGCTGACTGAGTCGAGGTCATGGTTCGGAATGGTGAATCGGCAGTTCAAGGGGGAAAACTGAGTTTCGGCTCCACTGAATCTGGAGAATGTCATGGATCCGTATATCCGTATCTCCTTCATCTCGTAGTCCCTTCCCCGCGTGCCCCCAGCCCCAGCTTTTCACCCTCACCTTGCAACTTTTCCCGGTTGGTCCTTGCCTTTAAACTGAGTCCAGAATATTGCCTAGACCCGACGAAGTCAGTCTCGTTCAAAATGGAGTCACAGGATACCGTCCCACTCATCATCGACGGTCAAGACATCCGATGCTCTCTCCAAGAGAGACAAGGCACCGTTGCCAACCAATACCCTGGGGGTCCCGTTTTCTACCAGGGTGCTACCAGAGACCTCGCCCTCCGAACTGCGCAATCCAGTGCTAGAGCATTCACAACGTGGTCCAAGACAACCCCCATTGAGCGTCGAACCCTGTTATTCAAACTCGCGCAGATTCTGAGAGACCGGGCCGATGAGATCAAAAGCGTGTGTTGTCAGGAAATCCACTGCGGACCGCTGTGGGCGGACATCATCACGAACGACAGCATTGGTCTGATTGAAGAGTACGCTGCGCTCACCACCAGTGTGGCAACCGGGTCGATTCCGTACATTCAGCAAGGCTATGGCATGGTCCTGAAAGAGGCGCTGGGAGTGGTGCTGGGGATTGCCCCCTGGAACGCACCGATTATCCTGGGCCTTCGGTCGGTAGTGGCCCCCATTGCGGCAGGAAATGTCGCCATCTTGAAGGTAGGCTTCCTTGAGAGGAGAAAGTGAAGGTGTGCCGTACATTCCGGTGGCTGATGCCGGAGATTAGGGCTCCGAGCTTAGCCCGCATACTCACTACCTCCTGGCCTCCCTGTTCCGCGAGGCTGGCTTCCCACCCGGCGTTCTGAATTTTCTGCTCCATCGCCCAGAAGACGCCCCGGAGATCTTCGACGCTCTCATCAACCACCCGGCCATCAAGAAATGTAACTTTACCGGCTCGACGCAGGTCGGCCGGATTATTGCATCCCAGGCCGCCATGGCACTGAAGCCGGTGTTGTTGGAGCTCGGAGGCAAGAACTTTACGGTAGTGCTTGACGATGCTGATCTGGAGCTGGCGGCCAGAGAGATCACGAAAGGCGCCTTTCTCAATGTAAGTCACTCGCTCTGCCTGCGAGGAACGCTGCTAACGCAGACCCAGAACGGTCAAATCTGCATGTCCACGGATATGGTCTTGGCCACGACTGCGGTGGCCCCGGCTCTCGAGGCGAAGATTCTGGCCATTCTGAATGAGATCGAGACAGCACCGATGGTCATCTCTCCGGCGGCGAAAGCCAAGTTGCAGATGCTGGTGTCTGACGCACAGGAAAAGGGCGCTGGAATCCACACTGCCTCTAGGGCCGTTGGCCATACCCCGCAGAGCTTTCCTCCGACCGTGGTAACAGGATTGACTCCGGAGATGAAACTGTACGAGATTGAGTCCTTTGGGCCGGTCGTCGGGATCGTTTCACTGGAGACCGAAGAACAGATTGTCTCTGTGATCCAGGAAGCCAAGTACGGCTTGTCGAGTTCGATTATCTCGAGAAACCACTATCGCGCTCTGGAACTCGCGGGATCTATCAAGGCCGGGGCGGTGCATATCAACTCTATGACGGTGCATGATGAACCGACTTTGCCGCACGGGGGGTACGGGGATAGCGGATGGGGTCGGTTCGGCGCTCGGTGGGGGTTAGAGGAATTCGTCCAGACGAAAGTCGTGACTTTGCATCCTTAAATAGTGCTGAATCGCGACGAGTGCTAAAAAGACTACAGTAGTGCAATAAAGCTTCTGCTGGATCATCGTTGTCCGACTCAATGCGTATCCGTACCCATGCAATGAGTGGTGTAGCCACAACACGGACAAGTATACTTCCGACAGGGTGAAGCTGTGGAGCCTCTGGATACGAGGGGGCAATTGTCCTGCCAAGTATACAAGCCTAGTAGCGTGAGCTTATCTGCAATTAGACAAGCTGGTTCAACTTGTAGATTAGTGCTTGTGTCGAACACCCTCCCTTGCCCGCTCAATCAGCCCCGTGACTCGTAAGCGATACGAGCAGGAATGCTTGGCAAAGGATCGGGGATAGAGACGAGTCACGAAGTGCTGCTGGCATCCGGGCAAGATTGCCATGTTAGGAATATGGATCTGATAAGATCTCGCTTAAGGAGTGGTCTTGGCATTCGGGGTTAGTCTACAGTCTACACAGTAAACAGTTGTACTGCCAACGGTCCGAACATCAGCTCATGGTCTTTCGTAGTTGCTCGGCTGCACTTGACGGCGTCTATAAATTCGATTCCACCCCTGTCTGGTTCTCCCTATCCAGCACCAGCTTTTTTGCCCAGCATTCAGATCCTCCGATTTCAAACTAACAGCCACCGCGTCCTCGCCGATATGCAGTTCCAGGTTGGTGAGATCGAGTGTTTTGAGAGGATTCTACTGACCTGACAGGCCCTCGCCCTCGTTTCCGCCCTCGTGGCCACTGCTGCTGCCACGATCGACGTGGCGTTCAGCGGCTACTACCTTGCCGCCTGCGTTTCCCCGAGCGTTGAGTCCGCCAACGTCATCTCCGGTGGCTGTGGACCAGCTCAGGGTCTGCCGTTGAAGTCTTTCTCTGCGCATGTCTACTCCGGTAGTTGTGATGATAGCACGACCTCGCCCGTCTTGAAAGTTTACACCGCGACGGGATGTACCGAAGAGTCCTTGTATGGCGAGTACGAGGTCAGCAGCACCACCCAGTGCTTTGAGGTGGATGCGACGTTCTTGAGCAGTGAGGTTGTGTGCGAGTGATCGGTGGTTGTTTTGTCGAGGATGTACTATAGACTCTAGCCATAACATAGATAAACACAATGTGTATAATGCTCGGTGATATCGTCCGCTGCCTAAATGGGCATAGTCGCCAAGCACTCTCATGTGATGTGCTGACGCATCCATTGGCAGCCCCTGATCAGCATGAACTGTTGCATGAACTGAATGACAACACCATCTTCTGGGGGATTTCATCTCGTCAGCTCCGTCGAGGTGGCTCAGCATGTCCCCGAAGTCATCCGCTTCCCGTTGCAGTGGGGATACAGGAAGCGGCCTGCCCCTGAGATCCCGACTGGGGTGCAAAACTTGCAAGTGGGGTCTACCTTCCGCCCCAATGCCTGTCACGATCCGGAAGTTAAGCATGTTGTAATAGAATCCGTCGAGTCAAATGTGGACAAGAAAAGCCCAACTGTCTCCGATGCAGCAGCACCGGTCGCAAGTGCGAGTACGTCAAGGCTGTGGCGGGCACCTTCTCGTCCGCCTCGCCTCCTTCCACCGCAGCCCTCGATCATCCCCTGGCGTTTGCCCCCAACACCGTCTGGAGAGAACGTCGTGCTTTTGCCTACTACTTCGAACGCGTAGCCCTGTTTGTCGGGGGTGATCTGGATGTCGAATTCTGGGGCACTTTCGTGCCTCAGCTGTGTCAGGGAGAACCGGCCGTGTGGGATGCCATCATCTCTATCAGTGCCCTGTTCGAGACGCACGATCAACCAAAAAGTCTGGTCTCCGTGCCGCCCATTGACCAACCGCAGAGTGATGCCTTGGCCTGGTACTCGCGCTCCGTCTCGGCTATTCGTCAGCGCATCGAGCGCGGGCAGGTCGACATCTTTGTGGGACTGATTACTTGCGTTCTCTTCATTTGCATTGAGACCCTGCAAGGGCGCGAAAAAGAAGCCCTGCATCTGTTCATGCAAGGGTTACAGCTCATTCAGGCTCTGCGCGTCCAAGTCTCGTCTGGCGTGATTCCACCCTCCAAGGCAGTTTTGCTGGAGGATGTGATTGTCCCGATCTTCATCCGGCTCGGAGTGATCGCTTTTAGTGATTCGGCCACTCGGATGAACAGTCTACTGAGAGCTCATACCCCAGTATGGTCGGCTGAATTCGCATCCTTGAGATGCGCGCGCGAAGCTCTCACTAGTCTAGGGGCAGAGACCATGCTCTTCGAGCGCCAGTGTCTGGCCGAGCTATCGCAGGCGGATTGCTTTCATGTCAGCGAAAGGTTGCTTCACACACAGGCGATATTCTTCGAGCGATTGAAAGAGTGGGACGTCGCGTTTAAGAGGCTTCTGGATTCGCTCCATGACAAAGGGCCACTCTCCCAACACCAGGTGGTCAACAGCGCGCTTCTCATAGCGTACCACAAGACCACCACCATTCTAGCGACCATTTGCGTATCCTCACTCCAAACCATGGCGGATCACTGTCTGGAGGACTTCCAGATCATTATCAACCAATGTGGCCTTGCTCTCGACGCGTCCAGACGACGTGACGGCACACAGCCTCCATTCACATTTGATCTTGGTGTTGGACTGCCCCTGTGGTTCACGAGCCTCCGATGTCGTGAGCCGCGCATTCGACGCGCCGCAGTCGAGTTACTCCGTCGAGCGCCGCCGGTGATGGGCTTTTACCGTGCTACGGCGGCTGTTAGTTTTGCAGAAAACATTATTATGCTAGAAGAAGGAAACGCGATGGCGCTGAGACCCGCGAGTAGGCCTCAGTCTTCCACAGAGCTGGTCTGGGACCAGGGTGCTGAGGGTCGCATCCCTGGCCATAGTTTATCCCGGGAACAGGGCAGGCTTGTGGCTACTTCGGACAATGATGCCCACCTGGCGCTGGCGGACATTCCGGAAGAAGCGCGAATCGGACCGATTAATGTCGTGCGTCAGGACGAGAGCTCGTCACCGCGAACCATGCAAGAGGGTGTAATGAATAGCGATGATTCCAGCAACGAAGTGACGGGGATGCGGTTTACACGGAATCGGCGGGATCCGGTGCAGAATACATGGCAGCGGGTGCATGAATACCTGCCTTTATGAATGAGGGCAAGGGGGACAGACAGAGCAAGAATAGCAATTCCAGAGGAAGACGCAATACTTTACTGCAATGAAATAGCAGTCACGAAGATGTTAAACATGCTGCAGAAGCTCCATCTTGTGGAGTCTTGTAGGTATGGGCAGTATGGGCAGTATGGACAATATGGACAGTATATGGTAACAAGTAAGGGCTAGCTGACATGATCTATGGGTCCATGGCACAACTGGGGCGTGGCAGGCGATTCGGCGTGAATTCTTATGGCTGCTTAGGGGGCCGAGTACACCGGGCGATTACGGGCTTGGTCCTCCGCGTACAACCCCAGCAGACATCACTGGTCTTCTAAGGCGCTGTGCCCGGATCAATTAGTGTGTGGAATCTGTAGAACGTTTTTACTTGATCATAATGCACAGTATCTTTGCAAAATAGCATCAAAAGGGGCAATGGCGCATCTGGGAGCGCGTCAGACTGAAGATCTGGAGGTGGCCGGTTCAAGCCCGGCTTGCCCCAACGTTTCTTTTTTTGAAATTCGTTTTTTATTGTCTATATCAGCTCTAGCGGGTCATCCAGTAGCGAGGCTGGAAGTGGAGGCATCAAGCGAGGCGGGTAAATTAGGGCTTGTTGCCTCAGACTGAGGATTGGGAGGGGACCCGTTCGACCCTGGCTTGCCCCATCCTTTCTTTTCTTTTCTTTTCTTTTTTTTTTCCTGCGTGCCCTCCTTTTTGTTGCGAATCACGTGCAGTACATACGTACATATGTACAAATTGGGAATCGCTACTGCTCAGTGCCCTCAGTCTTGCCATCCCCCTTCCCCTGCACCACGATTATCCCCTCCTCCTCCTCACCATTACCGACCATCGCCTTCTTCCGAAAAACGGCCCAGACCATAATCGTCCCCACTATCAATGCCAGCGCAGACCCCAAGGTGAATGCATAACCCTTGGTGAATCGCGGCCCCTCCACGGTCGGAAACACCAGTAATGGTGTCCAGGCAGTCGTGGACTGCGAGACCGCATTGATGACCACCAGGACCACGGCTCGTTCCTGCGGGGAATACCGGAGCTCGGTGTTGACCCACCCGTACAGCACGCTCGACATGGCCACACACGCATAGATCGTGGAGAACGCAAACCACTTGGCCGACTCGGGCACCTCCCAGATCGTGAGAATGATCAGCCCCAGGCTGTTCCACGTGTGGGCTAGGACAATGGCCCACGCCGGACCCAGCCAGAGGTCTGATAGGAAGCATACAAACAGAGTATAGAAGATGCCGAGGGCGGGGGCAATAGCGGAGAGATTGTTCAGGGTGGCCGTGCTGAAGCGTTGGAGCGATTTCAGCCACAGGAGATACCCCCCTGCGGAGGCGTGGAGGCCCGCATTCCAGAAAAGGACGTCTAGGACAAGGAAGATGTAGAATTTCTGGCTCTTCAGGAGTGAACGGCAGGTTTGAAGGGTGGAGAAGCCGGACGAGGTGAACCGATGACCGGCGCGCTCGAGTCGTTCACGCCCACGCTGGATGTCTTCTTGCCGAAGAATCAGTCGGTTGGGCTTGTCGGGAGTCCCAGGTAGGACGAAAAATCCCAAGATGCCTATAGGGATGGTGATGATCGCGCAGATGATGAACATCCATCGCCACCCGGCAAGGCCGGACACCCCATCCAGGCGCGAGGAAGCACCGGCCTGGATGAGGCTGGCTGTGAGGGTGCCCAGTGTCAGACCAACATAGAAGCAGCCCCCACGACGAGCGATCTCGTCTCCGCGATACCAGGCCCCAAAGATGTAATGCATTCCGGGGAAGAACGCCGCCTGATCGCCGATGAACGTCAGATGCAAATCGCCGCTTATGGGGGTACAGGGGGTACTTACCTCGAACCATCCCACCAGAAATCGGTAGGCCATCATCTCGCTGTACGATGTAGCCCGGTATTGGAGGAGAGTGAAGATGCCCCAGGCGATGTCCATGATGGGGATCAGCCATGAGATGGGCACTTGCGTAAAGAGATACGCAAATGGGAGCTGGCCAACCACCGCGCCCACCGTGTACATCGTCTGGAGGTTTACCAAGTCATCCCCACCGAGGCTGATCTCTTCTTGCATTCCCGATACATAGGCATTGTCTAAAGGCAGAAATCGAAAATGTCAGTCCTGATTTGCGGGGTGATGCGGCGAACTGACTCAGGTTGGCTTGGTCGATATATTTCGTCCAATAGGACAGAAAGGCATACGGGACAATCAGAGCATCCAGCTTGAGAATCAGCTTCTTGTCCTCGAGGGTATCATTCTCCGAGAACCATCGCATCTGATACCATCGTCGCTGTTTGGGAGAGGTCATTGTAACGATGCTGGCTGTTGCAGGAGCGATAGAGTCCTAGCTGGGGGTTAAAAAAGAAAGCGCACACTACATCGGCCATGTCGCCATTGATGAAGAGATATGCAACATGGTGATCTGCAATCAGCGGAACTTGTCCGCGGGTTGTCTAGCTACAGGTCAAGATATAGCTAGCAGATTGTGTTGAGAGGAGGGGATAAGGCGTGCTCTGCCAGTATCCCCGCAATGCTAACGATTCTCTTATCGCTCCTCGTGTATATCACTTGATCGGTCATTAGCTGCCTGTCACGCAAGCTGGTCGGCCTTTGGTGACATGGTCATAGATCTTGACACCGCCATTAACACACGAGTCCAGAGCGTGTTCTCTCGTGCTGGTGGTGGAAGAGACGACATCTCGCATGGGTACTATTTGACAGGGAAGACTACGTCACGCAATAGCCGGAGCGATGGCGTTATTCGAATGAGGGGTTGAAGAGCACGCCAAATTCATTCTCGGATGCAGGGGAGTAGGAGCCCGATGGAGAGGCGTCAGGATGCTTACCCTTGAATACCATCGCCATTCATTCTATTGGCAGTCTTTCTTCGATTTTCTCACTCAACTGTCAGCCCAACTGAGATCCCGGAGAGCTCCAATCACCATGAAGCAGAACAAAGAGGCAAGTATATCCAGCCAACGGAGGCTATATCACTTCTTAAGACTAACATTCAAGCAGGGCAAGACATTTCCTTTGTGAGTGCATACTAACCGGAATCTTTTGACTATGTATCCTGGTGCATACCATGTATAAATACGGAGCCTGTAGCAGGCATACGGGTCTAATCCATCAACACTCTCAGGCTCGCATCCCTCAAAGTAGACATCCAACTATCATAGACCAATCCAACATGGTTAAATTCCGAGAAGGCTGCTCAACCCTTGACAATGGCAGGAAGATCTATTGGGTCCTCTGTCGGGAGGAGCACACTTTTGGGCAACATTGGGGGTCCCTGGAGCATCTCCTTGAGCAGAGATTTGATAGGCTGCGCATCACGCATCCTCAAGCATCAACCTTCCATGGAATGATTCGCTGCGGTAAGTACCATCAGATCTACCGGGAAGTGAAGACCCCAGAGGATGAAAATGATCCCGACCATTTTGTGAATGGTCTCTACAGGATCGACATCAACGGGAGAGTCGCCTTCCACCGCGTGCACGATGAGAAGGTGCTGTATGACTGGCTTCATAGTCTTCCTCCAGCTGATCACGATTACGATGATGATGGTGTCATTGTCACTGAGGGGGATTATGGGAGTGACGTCGTAGAGGAAGAGGAGATGGAAGAGTCTCACCTCGATGATGATCATGATGGCTCCGAGGCTGAGGTTGTAGACAAAAGTGAGGCGGAAGATCCTTACTGTGATGATGTGCATGAGATCGATGCCACAGAGGAGGATGAGGAGGAAGAGTTTTGTCCCGGTGATAATGATGACTCGGAGATCAACCTTGTTGAGATCTGGGACCTGGACTGGGATGACAAGGACGAACCTGATTCAGTGGCAAGCCTATTGTCGTAGTCTTTGAAAGGCCTTTTTCTTTTATAGTACCAAACAAATTGGATTCAAATTAAGTCTTATATATGTTCACGTATACTGCAACCGGGCCCGGAGCTATAATCCGAGTGTAGGCATAAGAACTAGGAGCAATTAAGATCCCCTAGCTTTCTAAGCCGAGTCATGCAAGTTACACAGGTTATCTTCTCAGTTTCTTCAAGCCCTAGTCGTAGCGCATAAGAAGAGCCATTCCAACATCCCAACATCCCAACATTGCAACATTGCATAACTGATGGATCACGTGGTCTATTATATACACCCTGTCTAATGCACACTTGTGCCCTGCTTATCCAGTTTTTCAACCTTGAAGGGAAAATAAATCGCTTGGATTGGCTCCAAGTTGCTCGGCTACGATGACTCCCTGACCTGTAAACGGCGCCCTCAGGGGCACATCTCGTTCGTGTATGTACTTAGTCCTAGTAATAGTCTAGATCCCAACTACCGGAGCCCAATCCCCACCACTCCTCAAACTATTTGTACTATTGGACCCTCTTATCACCGCGCCCGCTTCGGTCGCTTGCAATGACTCAATTTTGACTCCTGCCAGAGGGTCGTACTGCTTGACACGTATCTCGATCTGGTTATTTCTTAAATATACCATAATAATAACATAGGCATTCCCAGTGGGTCGGAGGGGGGAGGGGCAAGAGAAATGATAAATATCGACTCGTTACTGCCCCAGCCTCTGCCGGGTACGTAGCAGACAGAGCCTTGCCATTCTTTCAGTTGCCCTCGCGGCACCCACTCTCGTTAAAACGTCATTCGTTGAAACCATTCTATTCGTTGATCATACATACATAATGCGTTGGAGTCAAGCTGATCTCGGAAGTCTGCTGCTCGCCAGCGCCTTCGCGAGCCAAGCATTCGCGACCGTAACCTGTGAGGTCGAAAACACGGTGGGAACATTCCGCAACCCATCCTTTGAGACGGGGGACTTGACCGACTGGACTGCCTTGCAAGCGACTGGCGCAACGTCAGCGGGCGCGGTGGTTTCGGGCGACGACGCTGCTGAGGGGGAGTATTACTAGTTGGTTTCCCGCCTCCTTGCCCTAATTTCTCTCCATACATACTCCCCTCCCCTACAACACTTGTCCGTATCGTCGAACGATACTTGTACAAGGTTAACTGAGGCTAATTTGCCCGGCATCCAGTTCCATCGGCGGCACGACAACCTATACCTACCTCAAACAAACCTTAACCAATCTGGATACCACTCAAGCCCTCAGTTTGTCGGTCAACTATCGCCTGATCTACACCACCTCAACCGCCACGAGTTACTGCTTTCTGGGCTTTGCGCAGAACTCATGGGCAGTCACCAATTATATCGGCGGGCGAACCGCCGTATACCCTTCGGCTTATGGCTCCAGTCCAGCTTGGTCGACATACTCGCAGAGCTTTACTCCCTCAGCTTCTACCTTGGACATCTACCTCGTTTGGGCCTGTCTCGGCACTTGGGCCAAGTACGAATTCGATAATTTCGGACCGGGGGAGACCACGGTCTGTTCTACCTCGACCTCAACACCTGCGCCTATCAGTACTCCGACGGCCATTGTGTCTTCTTCTGTGGTGGTGGTGGCAACAACGACTGCAGTGGCCAGCCCTAGTTCGGCTTCCGTGGCCAGCTCTTCCGAGGCCATCGTTGCGAGCAGCCCCAGAGTGACCTCGTCCATTGCGTCTAGTAGCCCTACGACCCTGTCGAGCGCTCCGGCTGTCTCGAGTAGCCCTCAGTTCAGCTTCTCCACTGCCCCGATCTCTGCCGCTTCCGGAACGGCTGCGTCGTCATCTGCGGTTTCCGTCTCTTCTAATGTTGTATCAATTGCCCCTTCAGCTTCTACAGTGGTTGCAACTTCTCCGTCATCGAGGCCTGTGTCGTCTATCCCCCTTATCCGACCATCCTCATCGTTCCAGACGGTCGCTTCTGCGAGTGTTCCAGTGCCTGTTGCGCAAAGCATCTCCAGCTCCCAGGCTAGCATCCTGTCTTCGAGTGCACTCACAGCGACATCAAGCCAGCCAGTCAATCCTCTGTCTCGGTCGTCCGCGAGTGTTCCAGTGTCTGCTGCGCAAGCCTTCTCCAGCTTACATGCCGTCATCCCTTCCGCAAGTGAATCGACGGCAGCATCTAGCCACCTTGTCGATTCCTTGTCTCTGTCGCCCTCGTCTCTCATCTCCGGTGCCGGTATTCGCACTACAGCTGCGTCGGCAGTCACGGTAACTTCTGGGTCTAGCATACCGACGGTGACTCCTCCCACCAGCCTCTTCTCTGCAGACCTCACTACCTCTACGGTTTTGACGACGCGCACCTCGACGGTGACTGCCTGTCCTTCCACGGTGACGAACTGCCCCGCCTCCGCTCGCACCACCTATCTCACAACCGAGACCATTGTGGATTTTACAACCATCTGTCCCGTGACGGCCACGGAGACGACCGGAGCCAGCGAGACAACCTCCAGCGTCTTCAGTACTCGCACTGCTACGATAACCGGCTGCCCATCGAGGCTTGCTACCTGTGCGGCTGCAGCTCAAACTACAGTCGTCACCACTGAGACTATCCTTGTCTCGACGACCGTTTGCCCCGTCACCGCTGTGTCGGCTACTGCAACGGTTGCGCCGGTGACCACCGAGACTACCTCCAGCATCTTCTCCACCCGAACCGCTACCCTGACTGGATGCCCCTCGAATGCCTCGCGTTGCGCCGCTACCGACCGGACCACATATACCACCACTGAGACAATCCTCGTCTCAACGACCATTTGCCCGGTTACAGCAGCCGAGGCTACCGCGAGTCCGGTTCGCACGGAGACTACCTCGAGCATTTTCAGCACCCGGACTGCCACGGTGACGGGCTGCTCGGCGGGTGCAGCCCACTGTACTAGCAGTGATCGAACCACTTACCTCACCACCGAGACTATCTTGGTCTCCACCACCGTCTGCCCGATCACGGCTGCTCAAACTATGACTGCTGGTGCACAGCCTACAAAGACAGTGACTGCGACTGAAGTAGCAGATGAGCTTGTTTCGACCATCTATTCCACTACGACGGTCTGGGTGGCCTGTGCGACGGACGCCTGAGGTTGAGTCGGTCTCTTCTAGGTGGCTTTACTGTATTGTGGAGATGCACTATTTTTTTTACTTGTTCATGCGCTTCATGTACTTGTATACCATACCTATCTCAATAAAGCCTAAATCAATACAAGGACGTACTGATAGGATCGGCTTTGCTGCTCCGCGAGATCCGCAGCGCATGTTAGCAGCCTCCACCATAACATAACCAGCTATTAGTACGAGGCGAAAGAGACCGTCGGCTGTAGGTATACTTCTGTACTGCCTAGAAATGCCTCTTCAGTCAAACATGCTCCTGCCCATCCCATACATACGTTTGAGTCGGGTTTACCTCAACCAGGTATGAACCCCAAAATATTGAGAGAGGGCCCTGTCTACTAAAAAGAAAAAGGAAGTGGCGCTGCCCGGAATCGAACCGGGGCTGGCACGGCCACAACGTGACGTCATACCACTAGACCACAGCACCAAATGTTGTAGAAAGCCTCCATAGTAAGAATCTATGCCCTCAAATTGTGGAGTCACTGAGTCATTCAGTGACCCCTGTTGACGGGGGCGCGGATTCGGTGGGGACGGCGGATGTCAATCGCCGCCCAACTCACCGACGGACATGACCCGTCCCCCATGACGGTGACAATGTGAAGTCCGCGCGGTGATAAACGAGTACTAGTTAGGTATACGGGGGGCTTTTACGCGCTCCTAGCGGGGAGGGGGCGGGCAAAACAAACAGCAGCCTGAACTGAGTCACACGCATAAGTGTGACCAGTCTTGCATGCTTTCATGCCAATAGACCAATCGGCGTAATGGTCCCTATTGCATATTACCTACTTAGCTTAGTCCGTGTGGACCACAGATAAGTCTGATCGGCATCATCGCCGTTGTCTTGCTCACTCGAAGGGAGCAGCAGCGGCCTGCCCCTACCCCCAATGAAGTCGTAATCCTTCGCATCCTGGATCTGTTTCTGCTTGCTTTGATGCTTCCCAGTGAAGCAAATCAGAAGACTCACAAACATCCGAACGATGACCAGGAAGAGTAAGAATTGCGAGAGAATGACTACGGTCTCTTTGGAAGTACTCGGGATGTCGCTGTGCTCTGACGATGGTTTAGAGGAAGCCTGCGAGGATTCAAGCACAATCGTTCGATTGTGAGCGGTGGGCCTACTACCCCCGTCGACTCACTTGCTCCCAAGAGGCAGCGTACTGGGCTCATCGCCCTTGGGGATCGAAGTGGAGGCCGAGGACAAATATCGAGGCTCTGGTAGAGTGACCGTACTACTGCTGTGTCCTGTACTCAGATTTTGAAAAGACATCGACTGGGCACTCGGAAGCTGGTCCGATGCTTGCAGCATGTTTTCTCGCACCATTGCGTATGGCAGGCCTTGAGCAAGAGCAACCAGTCGGCGAGGGACAGAATGTTCTCCGCTATTGGGGTGGACGAGAATTTCGCTGAATCCCTGGCCTTGCTTGAAGGGATCAGGAATCCCTATCTGCTGGACCCGATTTTTCAGACGATCTCGATGGCGGTGAGAAGCTTGCCCTGAATCTCAACGCTCCTGTGAAAGGGCCGATTGTTATGGTGGAAGGCAAAAGCGGTGTGGAATATGCTTCTGCGTAATGCTTGGTGATCGGGATCACTCTCGTGAAACTCCACTGTAGCGTGCGATATGCCGAGTGCGGCGAGGTAGGCAACACACGGCTGGTGAAACCCCCGGCAGAAGTGCTCTATTCTGTGACTTGGAGACACGGAGGCGGTAATCAGCGTTTACTCTGCTAACCCTTCGATAGTAGAGATTGGCATCCACCGTGTCCAAGCCTTGCTAAGGGCGACCGTACCGCGTGGAGTATCTGAATGTCCAATATAAGTCTTACACAAGTATTCAGCCTTTTTATATAGATGTATGTATGTTGATATGTCCTCCAAAGCTGTGCCCTAAGTATAACAAGCTTGATATGTAGAGAACGCGGCTACGGAACAAGGTGTGGTCGCAACATACACCCTGACCCTTCTTTTGGAGACATGACGACATGTGGACAACAATGATGCTTAGAGACAGACGTGTGAGGCATAGTTGCTGGTTTCTGGGGCTAGCTCGCAACGGCCCTGAGAAAAGACACTTTCTTCACTGAGCAGCCTAGAGTACAAGGTTCACTGACTACGACGAATGCACAGACGATCTCATCCACCTCCGCGCCACAAAATCGGTCTGTCCGCGCGAATACCAATTCGATGGTGTGAAGCAAACACAGGATACTTGAAAGCTTTTAGCTCGGAGTCCCCTTGGCATAGTTGGTCAAATACTCCGCCATCCGCTTGTCTGAACACATTGTCAGGTCAACGTCTACCCAGCTTTAGCAAAAGCACGGAGACTTACAAACGGAGTTCGCACTCTCCAAGTCCCACTGCATCCACTCCGGCATTTCCTACAACCGACATGGTCAAGATTCTTTTCCTAGTCATGTTTTCATGGACACATACCGCAAGCTCTAGCGCACCATTGAGATAGCCGGAGATAAGGCGTGCATCCGCCGCCACACTGGTCCAGACCGACTGCAGCACATTGAGGTTGACGCGGAAGGCCTCGAGCTTGTCCTCGCCCACGTCCATGAGCTCCTGGCGGGCCAGCCGGATCTGCTCGATCTGGTTCTCGAGCGAGGCTTTCTCCCGCTCCTTGGTGCGGATTTGCGACTCGGTAGCTAGTTGTCTCAATTGTGGATCAGGCTTCATACTTTCGGGGGGGAGAACTGACCGGCTTTGGCGACTGCAAGCGCCGCCATCGAGACAATTGCCGCGACACTCACTCCAAGCGCAATCAGCCCACCAATCTATGCAATATCTCTAGTCAGACGAAATCCCACTCGATTATGGAAAAGGGTTGTTCTTTACCGCAAGGAAAGGCCCGAGGATGCCACTTGCGGCGGCCAACGCGGTGACGGCCGGCAGCAGCAGCGCGCCACCCCCGAGCGCGAGGATCGAGGTATTCAGCGACGTTAGCTTGTCGCGCAGCTCCTCGAGCTCCTCCAGCACCCGGGCAATCTCCTGCTTGAGCTGCTCTTCCCGGTCACGGGCCCAGACAGAGAAGTCGGCGATGAACGAGGTGAAGTTTGTCTGGAGCTCGCTGAATTTGTGCTCCATGGTACGGGCATCGGCTTGCGCTGTATCCATTTGCTGTACATTCGTCAACCATTGCCAGTTCAAAGAGTACATTTCTCGTCTTTCCTATTCTAATTTGCGGGACTGCAAAGCGGGAATCACATACATCAATAAACCGGTTCAGCACTGTGCGTCGAGTGTCTACGGAAATGCTTTTATCGAAGCAGAAGGGGATAATCATGTCATCGAATCCTAGGCAGCGTGAGCTACAACGAGTTCCCCTAAAACCCCAAAGGTTCGCGGGGGCAGAAGCAAGCGCACGTACGATTGCCATGGACCGCGATATCGGTTGCAAGGTTCCGACTGTCGGCGAGAACCACTCGATATGCCTGGCCACTATTAGCATTTGTTAGGGCACAACAACTGACCACCCACCACCTGGTTCTCAACCAACTTCGGCTCAAAACCGGAATGATGGATGCGGTCGATCTGCGCGATCTTGAGGTGCAGGCTCACGAAGAGGCGCTCGATCTCGTTGGACGCCTCTACTGCCGCGTTTGACGCTGCGCGCAGGTGCTCTGCGCACTCGGGCGACGCCAGCCCCTTTGCTGCGCCCGTGCTGAAGACTTTGTTGTCCCGTTCGTTCTTGATTGGGTCGCTAAAGTCACCACCGTCCTTGAGGATCTCAATCTCACTCTCAGAGAGCGTGGCGGCGGCATCGATGAACTTCTGCGGGGTCGGGTCCGACCCGACCAGCTGGCAGACTTTGTCGACAAGCGAGTCGTAAGAGGGCGGAGAGCTGTGGGGCTCGTAGGCTGGGGGGGCTGTGGCGGACATGATCGTGGTGATTGTACTGGGTTGGATGGTGAGTTGGGCTGCTAGACACCAGTGGGGAATTTGCTGCTTGTCGCTGGGAACATGGAGTTTATATCGACTAGATCACGGATGCAAAAAGCCTCATGGTAAGGTGTGCTACAGTATACGTAAGAACAATATGCATACTGACTAAATTGCGGGATCCCTTGTCAGCAGTGGGCTTAGCTGAACGACCAGACCGATCTCCAGTGGCAAAGGCATGCTTTACAGGTAGAGCGGGGTATGATTGATTGATAGATTGTTTTGCCACTACGCCGAGCAAAGGAAGCGCCCCGCCCCGCACATGCATGCAATATAAACAAGTAACCGTACCCCTGTCATTGACGCTAATGTACGTATAGAGAGAGCACAGCTGAAGCGTGCAGTGCAGACTAACCTACTCGCAATAGACCTCCGCGCACCGACCCCGCTCGATGTCCGAGATAATAGAGCATTTGACATCCAGGTGCATAGCTTCCACAAACTCGTTGCCTTTATCTGAACATTAGCTAGAAACCCACAAGCGTGGTATGGAATCCACCAGAATCTACAGCTCACGGGAAGTCCAGCCAATGGACCATCGCATCACTGTACTGTTGAAGGTAGAGCGCCATCTCCGCGTCTGAAATGAGAGATGTCAGCTTTCCCCGCTCCTGGTGTGCATGGATCGGGATTTGACCGGGGAACATACAAATCTCCATTCCGCGATCAAGGCAGAGTTGCATGTAGAATGGATACGCCTAGCTACGGGTCAGTATACGGGTATACTTGGGGGAAACGTGTGACTTACGACCATGTCGGCGGCGGTCTCGAACCACACCGTAATCTGCCGGATGTCCACCAAGACCCATTGCCAAACACGCATGAGGATGGAGGTATGCCGATCAAAGTCTACCAGCATCATTGGGTCTGGAGCTCGTCGAGACCCTACCCGCTGTTGCTTTGAGACTGGCATGCTTAGGAGACCCATAGGTAGCTCATCCTGAAGTTGCCCTATCAGCCATGGAAATTGACACCATGGGACAGCATGAATGCTTACTTTGTAGGGTAGGGAGTCAGCCATGCCACGTAGTCGGTCAATCTCCTGCTTATAGCTTCCAGTGGAACCATGATCGCTGCTACTCGCTGCCTCCGTCTCCATTGCACCAGAGACGCTGCGCACAGCTGGGAATCCGGACCAAGCACTAGCCAGTTCGTAGGCGATCTCCAGCAGGCGGTACTTGGTGAGTATCACAAAGAATTTCGGGAATTGGATTCGCTGCCAGCATCTCAGGTCAGCATGTTGATCTTCTCCGCACTGGAGCCAGTGTGGTGATTTCGATTTACCGCGATGAAATTGTGAATGCGTAGCACTTTCTGGTGCATGGAGAGAGATTCATCGGTGGAAAACCGAGCAACATCATCCTTGACCTCTGATGTAGCGATAAATCCGATTCTGAGTCTTAGCCTAATGCATGGAGATGAGTAGAAGCGCCGTACCGTCATAGATGGCGCAGATGCTGCTAGAAAGCGGGATATTATGACGCAGCATAATCCTATGGTCCTGTACTTTTTTTAGTATGTTTGGTATGCGGAGTCTTGCTTGTGGCATTGAACTTTTCAGCGTGGCAAATACCTCACGGATCCCACGGATTCGCTGCTCATGCAGGGCGGTTCCTGGCCATCCAGACATGATAACATGGGCAATCACCGCAGTCAAGATGATCTCATTGCTCATCCCGGCGCGGCTGGCTTCTTGTGCGAAGGCGATGTACGTGCGACTCTGCTTTCCCGATACTTGGATGGTGGATGTTTTCTTCACTTGGCCATCCTTCGTTGTGTGCCACAGCTGAAGCGTACTCAGAACTGAGCAGAGATCGTGGTCGATGGGTACCCTGTCAGTACTCGGTGGCAATTTGGGGGTGGGGATGGAACTCGACGAGGACATATTGCTGGGTGGGCAAGGGCAACTCCGAAGGAATAAAGTGGATTGCTACTCAGAGGGGAAGAATAACAAGTGTTTGTCAGGTCAACAAATGAAGGCAATTTATCTGCGCTGGACTCCTGGGAGCAAGCATGTGAAAGATGCGGACCGGGTGTGGTGTCTGTCGTACAAGCAAACAGGAATTCATTCTGTGCGAGGGGCCTTGGCTTTGTTCGAGAAAGCGGGGTGTTATCAGCTTGTTGGGAATAATGACCTCAAGGTGCAGGACGCTTACGTCCGCTGCATGAGCTCGGCATGCACGAAAGACTTTTCAGCCACGCCACAGCGGAGATATCCAGCTGTCAGATTCCGATGTTCTCCGCTGTGCTACGGTGTTTTGCAATCGAGGGCGCGAAGTCGATCTTCATTTCCCACCTGTACTGTACGGTACATAAGAAGACTCCGTCCACCTTCAGGTAGTCCAACAATCGAAACACAAATATCAAAATGATTGTCGCGCCCCCCACATACACAACCAGGGACTCCCCTCCTTCCTACGACGAAGTCGCCAGAAAACTGGAGGGCCTCGTCGGCGACCATGTCACGCCCGACAGAGTCCTCGACGCGACGGACAAGCTATCGGACGCCGAGATCGACATCCTGATAAACGGCGCCGACGACCACTGGCCCCTGGAGACCGACCAGCAAAAGGCAGACTTTGCGGTGGGGTGCGGCCAATGTCTATCCTCCCCCGAGGGCCAGACTCGATTCGCAAGCGCCGGCGACGAGGCCACGCAGGCGACCCGCGATATTGAGAACATATTTGCCGGCCTGCATCTACGCATTGCGCAGATCGATCGAATCCATCACTCCGCATTCGAGCCCGAGATCATCAAACTCCATCATGCGTACCGAGATGTCCTCGCCGGGAGCCGCGACTTTGCGGCCACGGTCAGCGTCCAGTCTAAGCGTGAGTCCCGCCCCCGTCTTAGGGCTGGATCTAACAAGGCTGGATCAAGGGTTCGACGAAAGCATCCTCAAGATTTGCGCAAATGAGAGCATCGCCATCCAGACGCGTAGAAATACTCTCGAGACGTACATAGAGGTACGGAGAAGGCAGTGGACCTTCTTGCGGTCATTGCGACTGACTCATCCTAGAGAACTACAGCGTTCCAAAGCGACGCCCAGAAAATCACCGATGGTTTCCGCACTGTGACGGACGACTTCGCCGCGTTTGTCGCCTCCTTCTCCACCTGGGCCAAGGACAAAGAAGGTGATATCACCGAGCAAATCCGCCTTGTCGAGCAGGAGCTCGACGCTCTGCACAAGAAGCTGTATCGGCTCGAGAGCTCCCTCCGCGCCTTCGAGATCGTCTTCGGCGCGTCAATTCCCGCCACCGGGACCTTTGTGAAGATGTTCCCCGCCCTCGCGCCGTGGATCGTGGTACGTAGTAAGCCATCCCCAAGATTCTCGATCGCTGATGTTTCATCTCGAACATTCAGCTCGGTGGCGTAATTACCGCCCTCGCTTCTTTCGCCGCTATCGCCGGTCTCGCGGCTGGCATATCCAGTACGGGCTGACCCCTTTTTCCAATGAAAACCCCCGGTGAACGCAACCACTAACCGTGATTTCCGTGGCAAGAAACGAACTACCGGATCCACCTCAAGACGCAGGAGAAGGAGAAACTGCAGACGGAACTGGAGAACCTCCGCCGCACGCGCGCCGAGCTGGAGGACTTCGGCCATGACTCGTTGACGCGGTTCGAGACGGCCGTGGGGATCCTGACGGGGGCGTGGGAGCAGACCCTCGCTGACGCGCGCATTGTCCAGGACTGGCTGGTCCAGGGCGCGAATGTTGCTGTACGATGATCTCTTCTCCAGGTGCCCAGCTTTGATCATGTGGGGAAGCATCCACGACGGGATTATGTTCTAATATGTTGACTGGTAGCACCGACCGGAGTATATGGAGCTGAATATCAGGCACGACGTCAACAAATGTAGGTAATGATCTATTGTTCCTTGTGCATGTGGCTGACACGGATGGTGGCAGACAGCGCGCTGTCGGAGTATTTGGAGAGCTATGCTCGGGGGACTTAAATCTCGAGGGCCCGTGGCTGTGCTGGGGTGAACCAAGAATATGTAGCTTTTGTGATTGATAGGGTGTTGAGCTTTATTGCATTACTAAACTAGTACCAATCCACCCGTTCAAGGGCATTAAGTCGGGTTACTTCCCGCTGTCGAGGACGGGGATGCTTTGCGCAAGCTGAGGAGCTCATTAAAACAGGAAATGCAACCCGTGCGAGGCAAGACAAGGGCGCACAAGCCAGCGCCCTTTAGGCACCCACGACCGATGTTGTCTCAGATCAGGGGTGCTAAGGATGGTGCAATGGCTCATAAGGCGCTGCCTGAATTTTTGACGTGACCCTTAAAGCGGCCATCTGAGGGGACATCAACCCTCGCTGCCTCCAACCCGGCGTAGATAAACCATTTGGGCTTTACATTAGGTCTGAGTGACCCACTCTGTGATGTGTCTTGCTTGTCATCTAGTCTAATCGGTCTGTAACAAACGCGCTGAGTAGTGATACCAAGCCTGATTGTGCCTGGCCATGGTCAGCAGCTTGAACCCTCGCCACGCCTGGCAGATATTCATCTATCTCAAAGCTCCACGGGACACTCCATGGGCCGCGTCTGATTGACGGGCGTAACGTGGACTTGCCAAAGTCTCCCCAAACCCGGCGGGAACTCCCTTTGCCGCTCCGGACTCACCCACTCATCGTACAGATGGTGGGTTGCTTTCTCGCCCAGAATGCCGCGTTTTCCACCCTCGCGCACATAGTGAAAGAAGTCATCCGTGACTCGAACATATTCACGCAGAGCTTCGTGCACGTTCAGAGTGGCGCCAGTGGTCCAGCTGAGAAGCCACGGCTCGAGGAGCGGCGCATCGGTGATGCTGGGATGTGCCGTCCCGATGCTCGTGAGGAACCAGGACGGGGCGGGGACCGCGCGGACGAGGTCGCGGACGGTGTCAAAGTGCGGGCGGTTGTAGAAGGGACTGACGGTGCGGGACCACGAGTTGGAGTGCACGACCAGGATGGGCACGGTGACATTGGGGTTGAGGGGACCGCTGGACTTGCCCGGATCGAGGATCACTCCTGCCGCGGGGGAGGTGGAGCGCGTGGTGGTGAGGGCTTGCAGGGCACCAGTGGCGCCAAAGGAGTGACCAGCCAGGGTGAGATGGGTCATGTTGAGGCGGCCGGTCCAAGAAGGGAGGGTGGTGATGGGATCCCGGGTGTTGGGGATCGTGGTGCCGTTGTTGATGGCGTGTAGGAGGTCGACGGCGGCATGGAATTCGGCGTCGCGGAAGGCCAGCTGGGCGCGTTTAAAGTCATCCCGGTCAAAATCGGTCGGTAGCCCTGACGGCGACTGTATATCGGCGAGACGGAGCGGCGGGACCGGACGACCCGGGGAGCTGGCGGACGACTTGACCAGGGATCCGGGCCCGCTCCCGTCGCGGTGTTCTATGGCGATGATGACGTGGCCGCGACTGGCAAGCTCGGCGAGGAACTGGGTGTAATCGGTGCGCGAGCTGACATCGCCGTGGGAGAAGACGGTGACGGGGAAAGCATCGGTAGTATTATCATTATTGTAATGACGGAGAAGAAGGGGAGCGTCGACCTCGGCGGGGATGGCCACGGCGCCTCCTACCGCCCATAGGACCCCGGTGAAAATAGATCGGATGAGGAGGTTGTCGATCCCGGCCAGGCGGGCGTAGCCCCGGGCAGTGAGGCTGATGGGCCGCGGAATCCAGGGGTACCGGGGCTTGCGCGACCGGAATTGCCGGTCGGTCGGGTAGTACACCGTGGCCAGAAGCGTCTCGACGTCAAAGACCGGTTGTCCGGTGGCCTTGTGGACCGCCGCAGCCACGCGTCGAGGCCCGCCTGGTAAAGGCACTTCTAGGTCGATCGCACCGACGCCATGGGGGCCGGTATAGGACGGAAGTGGAGAGGCAAGGACTGGTAAGCCATAGATGATGCAATAGAGGGCGTAGAGCATGTAGAGACAGGGAGCGCTGAATAGAATCAGGCGCCAAGTGAGACGCGGGCGGGGCTGGCGGGAGGTCGTCGTCCACCGGGGTTGCGGTATCGGCGTGACGGGCGATTTGTTGATACTGCTCATTGTGCTTTTGTTCCGATGCTGACACGGTCGGGTAGACCCAGCAGGCGCGGATGGAAGGTGTACTTGTACTCCCTCGATATCGCGGGGAATGAAGAAGGATCGATGACGTAGTGCCGACGTGATTTGCATCTGATTTGTCGCCACAGAGTACTGAAAACCTCTACACAAGGGGAGGGAAGTGTGAGGCTATAAACAGAAGATGAATCAACCAGACAAGAGAAATGGCCGCGGGGCCTTTATTCTGAACTATATAGAGATAGAATTATAGCTGTTGTCACAGTGCAAGCTTAGCTATCTTCTCTATCTTTTCTGTCTTTTTGGTCTCTATATAGTGAAACTGTCAAGGAGCGGGCTGTTCTCTGGTTCTTAGTCTGGCTGGGTGATAGGAATAACAGCTCTAGCTGGCTAATTCTTTATAATATTTTTCAGATTCTTTACTAGATATTAAATCAGATTATCTTAAGATTTATTAAATAAGATAGAGCTCAAAAAGTTATAAATAGAATTAGATATTATCACGGAGCACCTTGGAGTACGTATTCCAAAGAATAACTATTGTACTATTAGCAAAAAGACTAGAATATAAAGCTAATGGCTTTATACTGTATATACTATATAGAGTTATATTAATATACCATTTAAGCAGAATCTAGATAGAACAGATACTCTTAGTAGTTCTAACTAGGCCTTGCCAAAGCCCGCGGGTTTACAGATTAGATTTAAACCCAACCCGGTTCTTAGCAGGTTTTAAATCGATAGGCTTAATCTACAAATTAAATATAAATTTAAATATCTTATTTATAGATTTTTAGCAAATATCTACAGGTTATCAAACTAAATAAATATTATATAATTAATAAATTATATAAACTATATAGTTTTAGCTATATTTTTAAAATATTATATTTATATTTACGATAATCTAATATAAAAGATATTTAATTATATATAAATTACTATATAATACCTACTTCTACACCAGTTTATACTGACTACTAAGGCAGTCCGCTTCTGGATTAATGTGGTAGATTTTGTGGTTGTTAATATTCTGTTTCTTGTTTCTGTTTAGCGAATATTTCTCGGAGGTCTTGATCTTCCGGATTTTTTTATAAGAATTATTTAATATAATTAATCTTATTATAAACTTGTTTATTACTAGTATTATTATATATAGTAGTATATCTTGATAGTATAAATAGTCCAGAGTATTATTTCTAGAAATAAACTATTTATTTTTATATTCTTATCTTTTTAATTATTCTTAATTGCTGGATAATTATTATAAGGGCTAGGAGGTGAAATAGTATGATGAACAAATAACTCTCGCGAGTCTAAAGATACTAATATATTATCTTAAAATATTATTACTAATTATTCTAATCCGCGAGATATTTATTCTTAGATAAAAAATTATAATCTACTTGCTTAGCTATTATATAACTAATATCTATAGATTTTTCTTTGTAGATATTATAAAAATTAAAAAAACTAATTTAATTTTTATAATTATTTTTCTTTTCTTGCGGGGAATAGATTATTTTTTATAATAATATTTTTAAAATCTTTCTTCTATAAATTATTTTATAGAAAATTAAAATAATAAAAAAAATAGCTTCTACTGTTTTTATTTTTATAATAAAAATATTAAATTACTTATTTAATATTTCTATAATAATTAATTTTAATATATAATCTGTTATTTACTGGACTGTTTTTCGCGGTAGTATTTAAATAATTTTTTTTTTAGAATATTTAGATAGTTTTTTATAATAATAAAAATTTTTTTCTAATAAATATAAATAGTTTCTCTGTAGTTAAAATAATTTTTTTAGTAAATAATATTAACTTTTTTTAATTTATTCTTTTAGACTGCCTGAAATACTTTATAGTTAAGATTAATAAATTTATTTTTATAAAAGTAAGATTTTTTTTTATATAAAAAGATTTTTTTCTTCCAGATCTCCGGTTTTTTTTTCTATAATATTTTTTTCTTTTTTTTTAATAAGTTTTTTGTATTATATTTCTTTCTAATATTACTATAAATTAATATTTATTAATTCTTTTTTTTGCAGCAGCTGTTAATATACTTTATTAGTTTTTTTTATAAACTTGATTCTTGCAAAGACTTGGTTTTATTTTTTTTATATAAAAATCTAATTAATTTGTTTTTTATAGTCAGCTGTTTGAGTTCTATATCTGCAGATTTTATTAATCTATTCTATTTTATTTTTTTATATAAATTATCTACAGGACAGGTTCGGACTTAGTTAACTATTTATAGTATATTTTACTATTTTTTTTATTATAAAAAAGAATATTTTTATTATTATTATTATTATTATTACTAGACCTGCTACTGTTATTACTATAAATATATTTATTTTTATTATATTTACTATTACTAGACCTGCTATTACTACTATTATAATTATATTTATTTTTATTATATCTATTATTATTATTATTATTTTTTTTTATATTATTATAGCTTTTATAGTTTTTATTTTT